TTCGGGATTCTGTCAGCCGGAATTTCGATAGAACCTTGGTGCTTCAGCTAGATCATGGCTCCCGTCTACACGGCTACCTGGATGACTTGCTGGCACCTGATCAGGAAGTTTCCCAACTATGACAACATGATCTTCCTCACTCAACTGGATAACCAACACACTGGATCAGGTGGTGAATGTCTCTCTGGGGCTCCCTGTCCTCTTTGCAAGTTATGACTCACAGGGGCCAGTTACAGTTATGCCCTCTGAAGAACTGAATCAAATCCCTTCAATTGCTAGCCTTGACCCCCTGGTACTCATACCTCGAGATGAAAGCGACCTTCTACGCTCTCAAGGCTTGGCAGGATTGTCTTCTCAACTCATTCATCCCATGAACAATACCATGCTAGTGGCTTATGTCCAGGAACAGGGAGGAACCAAGTCCTGTTCTTGGATGTACTGATTTGGTTGCCTTTGCAAATTCCTTCAAATGCCAGATGGAAGTGAGACACATTCCCCCAGGTTGAAGAAACTGGTAGTCAGTTTGCCCTGCAGTGAGAGGATCGTAGCCAGGGAAAGGACTCTGCTCCACAGTCTGGATCTCTTTGCGACAGGTCACAATCATTAGCTTCTGGTTTATGTCAGCCAGATGCTGGACCCGATGGCTCTCCAGATCTACGTGCTATCAATGGATTAGACAAATCTTGTTGGATATGCATATACACATTCCCTCCATGGTTTCTCCAAGACAAAGTGTTTCAGAAGCTGGAGATTGACTATTAAAGTCTTACTCTTGTTCCAAGCTGGGTTTCCATTACCTTATGATCTCTACCGGCTCTCAACCGGACTTCATTGCTAAGAACCAGGGCCTAGATTTTCGAAATGATCGTAACCCTAAAATTATCGTAAAGTTATCGTAAGGAAATTGTAGGCTATCGTAGCCTATTTTCGAAACTATCGTAGCCCTGAGATATCTTGAGTTTGTCGTAAATCTAAGATAGCCCCAAACCTGTCTATTTTATCTTCATCCAAGATGGTGGCATACCTTGCCATAGATATTTTGCCAAACTTTTAGTCTGCTTTACATTCAAACATTGACATTTCACTTTGTTAAACTGTGACACTTCGAAAACACGAAGAACGCATCAATGATTCCACGTCAGGAATGTTCTTAATCGCGAAAGCGATCCACATAACTATTGAGTCGATAGCTAACAATATATTTCTATCCAAGTCCATGCTGAAGAAGTATCAAACAACATAGCATTTCGATAATTTGCAAAGGATAAAAATGGAAGGTGTCCGCAGGCATCAGTAATGACTGTGACCTTATTGATAACTCAGGGGGAGCTAATCTTAGTTCAAACTCTAGTTGAGAGTGGTCTCCCTTTGTATTCGCCTGGGACACCTTGCTCTATGTTACAGTTTTCGTAAAGCGCAGAGTTCCGCTGTTATATTTTCTGGATCGCATTTGTGTCAATACTTTAGCCGTTATTTTCGCATTTTATAAAATTATATCAAACTATACTCACACGCAAAAGAAACGCAAGTATACATGTTATTTATTTAAACAGTAAAGACAAGAAATACTAATAGGGCAAGACTGACAAAAATTTGACTGAAGACAGTTTAATGGATTAAAAGGCAGATGACATAATTGTTTTTTTCAAATGTTCAGGGCTAACACAGTTTCGGGTCAATACCCAAAATGTCAGTCAATACCTGGCATGACCACCATTAGCATTGATCACTGCCACACATCTCCTGTACATTGAGTGTATATCAGACGATTTGTGAAGGCTCTAGGGATCCTCCTACACACATCCAGAGCAGCTGTGCGTAGTTCATTGGCAGTTGTAGGGTCTGGGCGCACATTGTGCAGACGCCTTTGAACCTCATCCCACAAGTGTTCGATGGGGTTCAGATCAGGGTTGAGGGCTGGCCACATTAGAACACGGATGTTGTGTTGTTGCAGAAAGGCCATGGAAGCTCTGGCAATATAGGAACGAGCGTTGTCCTGCTGTAAAATGTGTTGTTGATGTTGTGAAAAAAATGGGGTCTGATCACTTGGTCGATATACCGCTGAGCAGTGACGCCGTGTCCCAGACCTTGACCAACATTCAGAAAGCACATGGGTCCAAGTCTTGCATTAAGTCCAATCCCTGCCCATATCATGATGCTAGGTCCACCCAATGGATCCCTTTCCACAACGTTTCTGTCAGCGAAACGATCACCTCGACGCCACACAATTCTGACTCTTTGTCTGCATGGGAGACACAAAAGCGACTTTCATCAGAGAAGATGACATGCCTCCACTCACAATGACGCCAATTGTGATGACCCTGTGCCCACTGAAGTCGTGCTTGTCGATGCCGTGGTTGGAGAACAGGACGACGTGCTGGTCGGCGACTTCTGAGGTTGTTGGAACGGAGACGTCGGATCACAGTGTCCCGGCTAATGTGTCAATTATGTGTTCCCTTGGTCTGTCGAGGACTTTCACTTGCAGTTAGGAACAGATGTCGCTGGTGTTGACGGGTAATCTGCCGATCTTGTCCAGGTGTTGTGACCCTAGGATGACCGCTCCAAGGAAGGTCGTCTGTGTAGCATTGTATCGATGCAGGAGACGGTAAATTGTGGTTATGTTAGCGTTGAAATGACAGGCAATATCTTGGACAGACTCTCCAGCTTCCAAATGTCCGATAGGCGTGGCATTGTTGACCAAGGAGTGGTAATGCAATTAAAAATATTGATAACACCATCAGGCTTCACTACATGCTAAAACTCGTATCAATTTATGGTTCCGTGTTTGTTACCTACTTGCTTAATACCACTTGTGTTTCTTTTGTGTGTGAGTATACATATGTGAAAAAACAAAAAGGTTTTGCATAAGTTTTTACATCTAAAATTGTTTGGAAAGAGTGGTTTTAATAATTGAATTTTAAACTATACAGTGTAATATTTATTGACTTCACAAGGAAATACATGTGATCAAATAATTTTATACAATATTTAATATTTTCCTTGCAAAAATAATTGTAATTTGTTTCGTTTTAAATTCAATACCTATGTTATCTATATCCTATTGAAAGACAAATATTTGAAAAAAAAGTTATTAATAACTGTCTGATGAACAATTGCATTTTTTAAAAACAGGTGATTAAGAGCATATAGATTTATTTCATTTAATATAACAATTTATTGAAAATTTGACAGCAATAGTTAAGCACAGATTTTCGAATAAAAAAAATCAAACAAAAAATGGGTTCCCAAGCTCGTTGGTGTTTTAAATGTCGTCGAAAAGTAACATAGTTTGTACTTTGTCGAAATTCACTTATTCCAATATATGTTCGCAGAAAACGTTTATTAAATGAAATATACGGATCAATATAAAATAGACATATGCATGTTAAACAATGTGACCTGACAATGTGTTCATGATTTCTGTTGTTGTTGTTATTGTCGGCAGCTGGGAAATCCCCGTGACATCATTGGGAAAAACCCCGCTTTTTCAATCTCTAACACAAATTAGTTCTCTAGCTGACAGGTATCGTAACTCTGAACGATCAGTGACAGGTTTACAATAGTTTCAAAAATCTATCTTATCTTAACCTTAAGATATTGAACGTAAGTTGTTAAGCTTTATCTTAGCTAAGATCATTTTAAAAATCTAGGCCCAGTCCACTGCTAGCGGTCAAGTGAGTCATCGACACTATACCATTCCCACGTTGGCACCTACCATCCTGATCGCCCCCTTTGTCCCATACGTGCTCTCAAATTCGATCAGGTGGCTACTGACCCTCATTGATGACACACTCCAACAACGAAATTACAAAGGTCACGGTTGCATGCTGGCCAAAGACGACCACTGCGTCAAGCTGTCATCAAACACAGGATGTTCCGCCAAAATTCGAGCTTTGGCAACAAGCCTGGCATCCTTGACTTGTGTTTCAGTTGAACAGGTACCTGGATTCCAATGGGGATCATACTCTACCTTCACTAGTTTTTACTCACACGATATCCAGCCAGATCTTCAGCGTATAAATTCCCTGGGCCCTGTTGTAGTGGCCCAATCTATCATCAGACCTTAGTTTTTTCTCCTTCTATGGAAAGAAATGGTGGGGGCCCGGGATACAACATCAGCAGCAATAGAGAGTACCCTTTTCCTTGGATCACCAGCTACTGAGGGTAAGATGATGTCACATTCGGAAAGAAATAAGACCAGAAGTGACATCATATACGGAAGTAACATCATAGACCGGAAGAGACATCATATCCGGATGTATGATAGGCCAGAAGTGATGTAAGAGCCATACACCTGAGCAAATGATGAGCTAGAATAGAACTTAAGACATCATTTATTGAATATCAGCAAATATAATGATAACTTAAGTGAAGGTATCACATATATGACTGAGTCGTTCAAACTACTTGATGACAAGTCCCCTGGAGGTGATTGTAAGGTAATCACTCCTGAGGAAGTTTGAAACGAAAATATGAAATGGAAGCTCAAGAGTTTTATAGGAATACAAAACCAACCTGTTCCTCTGGTATATTCTGGCAATGATGTAATAAAGGTAGAGAATTCGCAAGAATTATCAAAACAATAGTTATCCATGTTAATAATTCTAAGAATACTACCACCATTACAGGATGATGGTTAATGATGAAATAGATGTAGTATATTTAGAATGATTAACAATGATAACTATTGTTTTGATATACTGATGACATATAATTATTACTATTTATTTCATCTGTTGTTTAATTCATGTTTCACACCAGTGCTGCATAGTCATTGGACATGTGTGTTCAAAGGGTTCTCAACCTGTGTTTAACCTGTGGAGCACATGTGTACATTCATGTAAAAAGAAAGATCTTCATGACAGTAGTGTAGAACCAACTGTGCACAAAAATGAAGGGAATTTTGGTTTTGCAAATATATAAACATAAGTTTTGATAATGGTACAAAATAGCTATAATTCTATGTATATTACCTCAATTAATTTTTGTTTTGTTTTCAGAAGGAGAAGACATTTGTGTGCATGTATGTTTTGAGGCAGAAGTCTATGATTCAAGGAAAAGTCAAAGTGAGCCACCAGTGAAAGCAAACAGTAAAAAGTCCCTTAAACTTAATGCATATCAGTGGAAATATCTGAAATCTCAAACCAGACTTTGGACCATAGTAGAAAAAGAGATTAGTTGTGAACGCTTAATGGCCTGTATTGGGAATATTACAGAGCATGAGCATAATCAAATTGAAGTTTTCTTTCACAGAAATAGGGGGAAACCACTTTCCTCTGTCGAATTTTGGGTATGGATACAACATGTCTGTGAAATCTTTGATAGATATGCTAGTTTCATACTCTGGGAGAGACTCTATGTCAATGAGAAAACATTCGATGATGCAAGGCAAAAACTTTCTGAAGATCCTTTGGTTGGCTTATATGCCAAATTCATAGCAGAAATGAATGATAGTTCTATTGTTATTGTCACTGATAAAGAAAATCAAGAAAAGGTGTTTAGTACGGCAAATTTGGAACTGAGAGATTTTATCCGTGGTACATCACAAAATGCTGCAGTGAAAGGGAATGGGGATAAGGGCAGCAAAGTTCCAGATCCAACAAACCCAGAGGCAAGAGTAGATGTCACAGAACAACCAGAAGAAGATTCAACTGGGAACCAGGAGCAACATGGCTCAGACACTCAAGTTTCGGCTAATCAAAGATACAAGGCAAACACACCATCCCAACCTTTGAAAGATGGATCGAAAAGTAATATGAGTGGCAATGTTGTGAGTGCTGAGAAAGGACTTGAAGATAGCACATCCCCTCCCGCTTCTCATCAATTAGAAAAAGGCACAGGCAAGCACAGTAGCGTCAAGATTGCATTGATCATAGATGTAGATTGGTTAGCCAAATGTAAAATGTATCCAACATGGAAAAATGTTACCTTTAACCTGGACAAAATGACTGAACACATAGTAATGGCTGATCAAAGATTGATCATTTGTACAGGAAAAAATGATTGTGTTCAGGCTTTTATCAGTAAAGTAACTGATATACTATCGAAAAAGCCAGTCATTCTAGAAGAATTGGCCAGTCACAACCCAGCCACAAAAGGTTTGACCCTGCCAGAGAAAAATCTCCATCTTCTCTTGACAAATTCAGAAGTCCAGAGCCAAGTTTCTAAACAATTGTTGGCTGCCAACATTGTGTGTAGCATTGAAAAAAAACAGCTACAAATTTGGCATAAACTGCATGGAAACCCTGCAGTAGCTGAGGACATTATTTCAAGGGCTATCAGACATGTGGTTGTCCCTCTTCAACCCTGTCAGAAGGCACAGTTTCAGGGTTTAAAGGAGTTCATTGAGGCACATTCTCGAGTAGTTGAAGTCTATCAACATGAAGGTAATGCATGGGTAGCATTTTCCTCACCTGAAACTCCTGACTCCATTAAAAGCAGAATAAAAGAATATGAAGAAACACATCTCATAGAAGAGCAGTTCATATCAGTGCCTGAGGATGAATATCAATTCCATACATCTTATGGTCAAGAGGCCTTCAAATTGTTGACAACCAATGAGAATGCTGTTGTTACACTCAGGAAATATGATCAAAGTTGTGGATTTCACATAAGTGGGCCAAGAGAAGCAATTTTAAGGGCAAAAGATGCTATCAAGAAAATTACACCAGCCAAAAATGCTTTCCCTGTTGATCATGTTCATCTTGAATGGTTGAGGTCTTCACATGGCAAAGAATTCATGCAACATATCCAGGCTACAAAGAAGTGCATCATTACAACTAAGGACAGCATAGATAGTACCTTTGAAATTGCGGATGTCCCCAAAGTGATTCAAAGCTATTCTCCTGGTTCAGGTGCCACTGAAAAACATGCAAGACTTGCAACAGGAGACATCAGAAATTGGCAGCCAGATGTGATTGCTATCCCTGTGTGGGGTGAGAGAAATGCAAATAAAGCATCACTTGAAGCAGTTCTTCAAAAGAATGGTAAGCCTTTTCGTTTGCTGTCTGATTGTTAAACAAAATTGCAAATCACAGCATTCGTGCAGTATCTAGTCTCATTGGATGTCATTTATATTGTCAGTACTTTACAGTGGCAAAATGAACCTCACTGATGTACTGATTATTTATGTACTGTTTTAATGCTTTTTGGCCTGCTTTGATCTACTTTTGATTGTTATTTTTAGCATAAGCCAGTGTAAACAGGGTGGGTGATTTCAAACAGACGAGGCTTCATCAAACAAGGGACAAATGAACCAATATTTTGCACATTTATTCCTGATAGAAAAATACACATTATTACAAAAACAACAAGAATGTACTGCTGCTTGTACAGTGGTTGTGGATTCGAATTAGTGATCCCAGCATGGGGTACAACAATATCAGGTAACATTTATAAAAGTATTCCAAAAATGAAAATCTATCTTTGGTTACATATTGATGATAGATGTTTATTTATTTATCACTGTGTACAGTTTTTAACATTTCATGTTAGATTATATATTAGGGTTTTGTTATACATGTAGTTTTTCCCCACAATGATTACATGTATAAACACTTAAAGTCGATCAATGCATCATCAGCACAGTATAACCAATCAATCTTCAAATTATAATTCATCTGAACATCAGTATGACTATTTTCATGTCACTTTTAGTGTTTGATATCTATGAGTAGCTAAAAAATATTTTCAACAATGGCGAGCATACCAGGGACTGAGAATGTTCCTGTGAGGGGGAGAAAAAAGTTGTGGACACTACTTCTGGACCGATGGTTTTCTAACTTACATGTATACCTGGTGTTCCATGGGTTTGGGTTTGTTGATCAATCACAAGAAGGCACAGTTGTGTTGACCAACCACATTAGGGATTAACATTTATGTGAATGTTTTTATACAGTTTTGAACTATTTGTAATATTAAAATATGTATCTGTTGACACTGACCAGCTGTCAAGTGACAATTATTATTTTAGACGATTAGCCCAAGGTAATTAGTGCACTGTCTAAACTTATGGAATACAGATGTAGTGAAGTGGTGTAGTCAATGTTATTTTAGGGTAATGTTTTTTTGTTGTTGGTGTATGGCAATCAAGGTTTGTTCACATTAATACTTACATACCCCAAATTAAGCCATAACTTACATGGCCTTTAGGTTAATCATTATATTTAGATTGATCATGGCTTCAATAGAGATTATTATTGAATGTTTGGGTTTGTGTAACAAAGTATTTGTGGTTTAATATTTGGGTGATTTAGAACACTGTAATGATATTTCATTTTATTACTTCATGTATTAAAGTATATCTTATGAACAACTACCATGAAAAGTTTTCTAACAGTTATTACTGTTTTAAGCATTATTATAAAACTTATGGTCATATTTAATACCCATGATAGTTTGTTCCAACTAAACAAATTGCGAGTTGGGCCTCGCCCTCACGTTTCACCTTTGCTTGCAAACAGCATGTCAATGTCCGATTTGTACATTTATGTAAATAATTCAAGAAAATTAAGTTAGATATAACTAAAGGATTGTAATAGTATTACAGGTTCATGATTCATTTGTTTGTTATACCCTTATCATATCCATTTCATCCAATCAATGATTAATGATGTAGAATGTTTTTGTTTATCATTAGTTAAATAGAAAGCTGCTAATTTTTAGAAATCAAAGTACTTGAGTGTTTCCTTTTCATCAATGACTGAAAATTATGGCTGTTCAGGTGGTTGTGTGCTGAGAATATGAACAATAATTTTGGAACTTTCGGTAATTTCTTTTTGATGTATATAAACTACTTAAAATTTTGATATTTAGAAAGCAAAGAATTTATGCATATTATATATAATTTAAGTGATACTTGGTAAACAGTCATTGCGAGTTATATTTAGGGATGTTGTTATGTTATTTGCCTGTCGAAAAGGTTTTGACTGCAGACTACAGCTAGCAACACACACTGTCGAATAGGTTCAACAGTTACTAAGCATTAAGAGCTTAAAGAAGCATTATTTTGTGAAGGACTGTTTACTTTCTTGTTTTCTGTGAAATTTAATCTGTGATTGTGCCATGGTAATAATTTTGTGATAAATAACAATTTCGTTTTGTCTCCAGGGATTGATGTTGATTTGGATGCTATTCTCAAGGAATTTTCAAGTCTGAGTTTTGCCAGAGACTACTTGGTGTATTTATCTGATGCAAAGATCGATGAAGCAGCTGTTGTGATAGCATTTGTTTTGATGCCTCCTGGATGGGGAAACAATGAAGACAAAGAAAGACACAAGATATCAACAGCAACATCTGACTTGCTGAAGGAAGTGTACAAGCGATATGGCAGAAAAAGGGTTGTCCTCAGTTTGAAAGACATATATGACAATGCAACAGAGAAAGGTGTGAAATCTGTGTTGTGGGCTGTCACTGATGTTTTCCAAAAGGAAGAGAAACTATCTGTCGATTTGTTCCTTTTGACAGAAGACCTTGAATTGGCTGCTAACCTGAGATCAGTGTTTATGAAAGCAATGGGATCACGTATGTATACTTAGATTATTTTGATTGGTCTATACAGAGCTCCAGATAACTTTGGAGCAATTGATTTTTTTCTCGAAGGTTTCCATTTTAATTGGATTATTGTATTTTTCAAAATCTCAAAAACAATAAAAATAATGTTTTTAAATTATAAACAATGATAACTATTGTTTGATAATTCCTTTAAATACAAAACCTCTATTACATGATTGCCAGAATGTCCAGGGGGGACTGGGGTTTCTAACATCTAGAAAACCTCCTCTGATAGTTTTTGGCAATAGCATGGGTATACCCAGGGGTGTTCATTAAAGATTTCCCCAGCCCCACTTCCGATGGACCTAGTGGAATGAAACTTGGCATAGGTATAAGTCTTTCTCCACATAGGAACCACCAAGAGTTACACACTTCTCCCATCGTTTTATGCAACTATGGAGACCTTGCTTGTAAAAGCCCTCATTTTGCGTCACAAACCAGGACTTGACTTCAGAAATCAGTGTTTCATCACCTGTGTTTTCCCTTAAAAAATGACTTCATGGTTGGAAAGAGGTGAAAGTCAGAAGGTGCAAGGTCAGGAGAGTAAGGAGGATGTGGAAGGATTTCATAGCCACAGGACTGCGCTTCTGTCTGGGCAACATGAGAGTTGTGTACTGGAGCATTGTCTTGCAGGAGACGGACACCCTTGGTCAGCATGCCACGCCTCCTAAGCTTGATAGCATCCCGCAATTTCCGCAGCAGTGAAGCATAATAAGCTCCTGTAATTGTGGTACCCTTTGCCAAGAAATCCATCATCACTACTCCGGGCTGATCCCAAAACACAGTGCGCATTACCTTTCCTGCAGAGGGTTAGACACATGCCTTCTTTGGGGGTGGTGACTCCACATGCTTCCATTGCATCGACTGAACTTTAGTCTCAGGATCATAGTGATGGACCCATGTTTCATCCTGTGTGATAAGTCTGTCAAAAAAGTTTGCCTGTTTTTTTTGGCACATGTCCAAAAGATCCTTTGAGCAATTGACTCGTTCCTGCTTTTGGAAAGGTGTGAGCAACCTGGGAATCCATCGTGCAGACACCTTGTGCATGTTCAAATTATCATGGATGATTTTTTCCACAGACCCTACACTGATCTTGACATCTTGTGCTAACTGGCGAACAGTTATACGTCGGTCTGCCAAAATGGCGGTCTCCACTTGATGGATAGTGTCCTCATCAATGGCTGAATAGGGGCAACCAGGAAAGGCAGCTGTTTCCACAGATGTCCGACCACACTTCAACTGGCAACGTCATATGATGGGGCATCTTCCCCATAAGTTGCTTTCATTTCATCAAAAGTTTCTTTTGGTGTGTGACCTTTCAAATATAAAAACCTAATCACTGCGCGGTATTCTACTGGCTCCATTGTCACACCCTACTCGATCATAACACCTGTAAAAGTGGTAAGATTAATAGTTAGGTGCTGCAACTTCAGACATAACCCATAGATACATGTATCATTACACATGTGAAATTTCAACCACATATGATAACCCTAAGTGGTTTAGGGGAAATTTTTAATGAACACCCCTTGTATTATGTTCAGTTTCTTCACACTAGTAGCCCAAACTAATAAGTTTATTATGAATCAAACATCCAGTGAACGGGTTTGGGCTTGATGTGACGTAGAAAGATCAATTTTTTAATCAGATATCAGCGTTGAAACAATGTTGTGCTTCAGCGTTGAAATGACAGCGATATTTCGTTGGATTTGAAAGTTGAAAACATAGGACAAGCAATTGTCTGAACAAATGACAATGTTTTTAAAATTGCTTGAAAAGAAATTACAAACTTTGAATAACACCTTAACAGAGAAAAATTCAATGTAAAACTTCAAGCCAAAGTATCCCTCTGTGAAATAAGTGCCCTCCATGGCATAGTCATATTAAGGGGAAAAATCTGTTCGCACCTTCTAAAAAGCATATAGTCTTTGGCAAATCCATGATTTGGCACAATTCAGTCTTTTGGCACATCCCCTGATCGGTCCTTATGTCGAGTATCTGATGTGAACACACTGAATTAAGAATCTGTATCCTGGTTGCCAAAAAGTAAAACTTCAAGGCACGAATGGGACAAAGGAGACAATTTGAAATTCAAGGCTGGAAAAGTTAAATGTCTTTAGACCAGAGGGGCCATAGAAGTAGACTGTTTTCTCTGGGAGAGACCTGATGGTGATAGAACACCAGTCGTCAGCGTGAGTGACTCCTAAGAAATCTGATGCATCAATTTCACTGTAGCCAATCAGGTACTCCAAGACACAGACACCAGGAAGGGATTTTATTCTCCAGTATTCCTGAAATGAGGATGATTATCAATGTCAAGAAGTTGAACAACTTCTCCTGATCCCATATGAAATATTTCAAGAAACTATGCTGAACACTTTGACATCTACAAGACATCTACAAGATACCTGTCTCCACATGACGATCCATCAGTCATCACAAAAAGGTCTCCACTTTGCTGTAAAAAGACGTCATATATCTCGATAGTTATTCACCAGAATAACAGCACCAGTGATCAGCCTCCATCGTGTAAATCTACATGGATACTTTGGCGATTTTCTGGCAGCAGACCAGGACAAGTCTCAACTGTATCAGAATCAAACTTTTCTGATAGGGTCTGGTGGAAGGTGGAAGGTGGAAAGTGTCAAATCGAGGCTGGTTTATGTCTCTACGTAAAGGAAATTTGTGGGGTTCTGTCATGACCAGTGAGAAGGTCCTGGGGATCCAGCTTCTTTAGGGCGAGGCGTAGAGGAGATGAGGGTTGGAAGGCATAGGCTTTCATCCCGTTCCATCCATGGATGAGGCTCCCAATTGCACTGCTTGCGGATCCGGTACTGGACTGACATACAATGGTAGTTTGTGGTTTAGGCAAGAAGCAAAGAGATCCAGATGAGGGTTTTCCCAAGTTTTCATGATCCAGGAAAACACCTACAGATGGAGTGACCATTCTGTCATTACCACTGTCTCTCATCTGGACAATCTGTCTACCAGAATGTTGGGTTTCCCAGGAATGTGTCTCACTACGATCATGTAGTCAATTAAGTAAATGGCCAAGACAAATAGCCATTATCAAACCATGTGACCTGGTTCCCCTGGCCTTTGTATGTATGTATAGATAGCACTGTATATATGTAAACCCGGATGAATGGGCACATGGTGATAGGCATGCATCCTGAAAATCCAGACTTATCACCCTGAGGGAGGTGTGCAAGTTCTGTATGGATTCCATCTGGATCTTAGGTGGTTGAACAAGAAACATCTTGTTGAGGATCTTGAGATCTATAATAATTCACATTCTTCTGTTGAATTTTTGGGCCAAGGAACACTGGCGAGTTAAAACCCTGGTCTGCAGTCCATTGCTGTTAGTTCATTTAGCACAATTAGCAGACAGTTGCCAATTATGCCATCTCTTTATGATACGAGTGACGTGTACGTTGTTATTATTTCTAAGAGATAAAACATATTTCAGGTCAGAAATTATATTGCATACTGTAATTTGTTTCTAACCTGTGCACTTTTTGAAAAGAAATACACAGCTGTCTAGAGAAGGGTGCACATTATAAATACACACCATCATAATTTGTGACTTTTTTTTCCCAACACAAAGACAATACCGTGAGCGGGGGCATGGGTGGCCCAGTCATCTAAGGCTCCGCGATTCGCTGTGCAGAGTTGCGTCCCTTGGGCACGCCAGAAACCTATGATTGTGGGTTCGAATCCTGGTTCGCCCCGATTATGTTTCTAGGTTTGTCAGCACCATACCCGTGCTCTTGGGTTTTACCGAAGTGGTAAACGTCTGAAACCTCCATCACTTCGGGCTTTCCTCCCACATTAAGCTGACACGCCGTGATATAACTGGAATACTGTTAAAAGCTGCGTTAAACACAACTCACTCACTCACTCACTCAATACCGTGAGCACGTAACTGAAGACACAAATTAAATTAGATATGTAATTACACTGTCATAATATTGTTCATTGTATATTTGGTCTTGTGTTTGTAACCTATTTTGTTAATTATATTCAAAATTTCCTTCACTTTTGTTTACATTATTTTCTATGAAATCGTTTGTGAAGTGATCAGTAGATCCCTCAACTCACCGTTATTTACACCAAACACAGTCCAATTACAGCTATTGATGCCTTGAACATGTTGAAACAAACTTCATTTGACAGAGAATGGATACATATATCATAAATGTCATACTTTGACCCGTTCAAAGTCATATTTTGATGCAGTTTGACTTTAATAATTCTCGATTGGCAAGGTGGGGGTCTCGATGTTGACTGGTAAAATTGTTCCATATGTAAAAATATCTGGCAATAGGGATCAGCTGTACAAAAGTGCCTCACTTATGGTTATTATTATTTCAAATATATATAGTAAAGCTGCAACGAAAATAACACGATATCTGAATATATTTTTCCTGATAAAACAAGAGCAAAAGTGAGCGTGGCTCACTAATGACCCCGACCCTCCTAGTGTGTCAGTAGTTTCAAATTTTAGTTTTAGAGAAATTGCGCGGACAAAGTGTTTCATTAGAAAATAGATAGCGTTATGTTTTGGAAAATTCATAAAAAAATGGAAAATTATTAAAAACACTGTTTTTTCTTTTGACTGCACCCCTCCATATGACACAGATTATATGTACTAAGTTTGAAATGAATCCACTGAATAGTTTAAGAGAAATCGCGAGGACAAAGTGTTTCATTAGAAAATGGATAGGGTTAGCGTTAGGTAAAAAAATTGAAAATTAATAAAAACATTTTTTTTTCTTTTGACTGCACCCCTCCATATGACACAGATTATATGTACTAAGTGTGAGATGAATCCACTGAATAGTTTAAGAGAAATCGCGCAGACAAAGTTTTCGGACGGACAGAGGGACGGAACCTTGGTATAACTATATACCCCGACCTTTTAGGATAATATTTTAACCGAATCATTTGTAGATGAGACAAAAAGTGTGTACAGCTGATTGCTGTTTCCGGCAAAGTTTATGAGCAAATACACATAGAAATGACTAATCTTAATCTCTGCATATAAAACAATGCTTAGGAGAACAGGAAATACTATTTAAACGGTAAATAATATTTTCTGGTGATGTTTTATCACAAATTTGTATTGACCAAGTTTGTTATCACCCGATCGTTTACCTGCATGAATTCGCTGGAGGGATACAATGTAATTTTTTGTCCAAAATACTGAATCACCTACCACGGGGTGCACATAATGCTTGTGTGCACACTATACTCAAGACTACAGTATTTTATTGTTTTTTCAGCTATATAAATATAAGAAAACAAGGATGAAATTTTTGTCAGTTTCATTTTACTTAATAGAGGTAGTGCATTCGAGTATGAGGTTTTTTTTCAGCATAAACAAGGCCTTAACTTGCGTAAAAGATATTTTTTAACGCATACATTCCGTTATGTTCTCAATATACATTGGCCACTACAAAACAAGGGGAATTCAGAGCTACATTAACCTGTTTCTCTTCAGATTTTGTTTATTGGTGTATTATAAATTTTCATTTAATTATGAATTAATATCATTATATTGTCTAATTCCTAGTTACCTTGCAACACAGTCCATTCATGTCTTATACACTTCAATATAATTGTAAAATGATGACATCAGGGCTGTATGAAGTACTTTATAGCTATTTCCCCAGAGCTCTCACAAACTTAGGTTTATTTTCATTATCTAAATTTCAGCTTAGTTTAAACATATTACAAAACAATTCAGGTGAACAATGTTGGGGAAGGGGAGGGGATGATTGGCATTTCATTATTTTCAAATGTTTTCATATTTTTAAAGGAGGCAGTACATCACAAGATGAAAAGAGGAAAAGGGTCATACTGTCAATAGGAAAGTTGGCCAAAACAAAGGTAAGTTAGTTTACAAATGGCATTGGTAAGTTTGGGAAATCATTCTCACTACACTGTATTCATAACGAGTGTTATATCAACCATTTTTCATTTAATCAGTATTTGCTTAACCTTTGTCAATGGATGGAACCAGTTTATGGGACAAAGATAGTATTCACTCTTTTGCTCTTTTGCAAAGCAGTGACTGTAGGGTATGTATGCTTCAACTAGAAATGTCACAAATTTGAAACTAGAAATGTTGTTCCATGCGATGAGCAATGATTAAAGGTCAAGAAGTCATGATCCAATACACTTATGACGATGATAACTTGAGCTTTTTTCATATGAATTCAATTCAACTTGACATATGATTGAAATTGGAAAAGCATTTTATTGCCATCCTGCCAAATTCAAGGTCAGCAGAAATAACATAGTGTAACCTTAGGTTCCGGGTACTTTACCCTTCTATCTTTGGTCACTTGTACTTATCAACTACTCCTTGGTTCTAGGGATGATGTAGCTCTCTCAAAATCACAAGTCAGATGGTTTGCTCCAGTCCTTTTTATTTATGATAGAATTAATCATAAATACATGTATACACACATGGTCCTCAGATAAGTTCTTGTTGTTGCCTGAATTACATAAGTACAACACATACCTAGATGATGCGTTGAAAAGCCTGATGGTTTTTCTGGTTATCCCCGCACACCTATCGATGATAATTTTAGCTCCTCCCTCCAAAATCACATTTGACATCATGAGAAATGAGTCATAATGGTCCTTCCCCAATTTCCATAGTAATTAGCTTTACCATAAAGCCCTTCTGATTAACCACTTTGATTACCTCTTTAGGGTCATTGGTCAACTTGGACATACTCATATAATCAAATCAAATACCCTCAACTACCTCTGCCAGGCTGGAAGGCACCGAAAAGATACCCAATCCTGTTATTTAGACATTCCAATCAAGCAGTAGTATTCAGAAATACTTGATCACCACTAATCTAACAATCCCGTTCCATCCATCTGTCTCTCTTCTGACATCTTTATTGCCGGACCGTATTCTACTAATTTCCTCAGACCAACGAAAAGTTATCTCTATCACTCAAGAGAAGCAATATCCATAATCATTTGCCCTGGGGGGTTATGCCCTCACCCTGTACGGTCACTTCTCTCATATGCATCCATATTTTTACCCCAAAGCTTAATTTAGTAAACTACATTTTAAGTAAATATTACAAAAACCTTTTTCCAAAATACCCTGGTTATACATGCCCTTCCCGTTGTAGAGCATGTCCCATGCGATTGACCAATGATAATAAAATATAAGATGTAAATACAATAGTACAATATCAATATGTAACAACCTGTGTGTGTATGCCAGAAGGAGGACCAGAAAAATCAATACAATGAAATTTTTACAAGGTAATGTCTCAGATAGGATCTGTCTTGGGTTGTACCTATCTGAGAATAATAACATGCCAAGACTCATAAAGGCACAATCAAGTTATTATTCTTTGTAAAGTTTTCAGGTTTGTTTTTTCCCAGGAGATGCAGATTGGTGAAATAAAACATCTTCTCAACGTTTTGATTTCATATATATATATATAGACATCTGAGCATTTTTCTTCAGGCAAAAAAAATCACAATAGTATCACAACACCAAATAACCAACTAGTGATCAGTTTCAGAGTTCTGTGTATGCAATATATAATCTTACTATTCTGTATCATCAACATGTTCCATGTCCGTATGTTCTAGAACATATTCAACTTACTCTGACTCTTATGGTCTCGATCCAATGGGAAAAGTTCTCCATATCAAATGATCAAAAATGTCCTGGAGGTTTATTAAGAAATGATTCTCTCCATCATCTTATAGAATGAGGTTGCTCATTCCTACATGTATGACAGCGAAAACTTTGACTCTGTCCAAAAGAGTTAATTGTCCAAAATTCAGTCATTTGTAAATCAAATAGGAAATTACTTTAAATTCATGCATTACACTCCATGAAGTCCTCTTTAACTGAAGATTACAACAGTTTGTTCTTATAATTTCTCAAGTAAATGTTGAAATTCAGCTTCAGCATCTGTACAAAGTAAAAAAACAACATCTCACCTGACTCAACAATCACAATAGGTTGGTTTTTTTCAACATCAAAACAACATCAACTTATCGTAAGGTCAATGGACATGCACCTATACAGAATATTGTCAAATGTCTCATTGGGCAGTGATCGTACGTGCAATCTATCAACAAATATTCAAGTCATCAAACATGCAACAACATACATATTCCTAATGGTAAAATTCTTCACAAGTGTTATTGTAGAACACATCTGCATCTACCACTACAGTATGCGTTTTCAAACATCAATGAACTCCTGCGATGCAATGCAATGCACCATATACAACATACTGGTAACATATAACAGATAGATTTTCTCTCATGAAATTCAACATATGTTTTTCTCATATGGTAGGTGTACCCATTCATATATATTATAAATAAATGCATATAGGTAAGCACAAAAGCATAAAACATGTTGTAAAAGTAACATCTTGAATATAGTATAACATCAACATTTATACAAGAGGACACTAGTATGTCTGAGATCACTTACATTTCCAAAACTGTGACATTTCAATGCTCTCCTTATTTTTTTTGATAGAGTCCGCCTTAAATGTCGGAAAGGTATCAACTCGGGTGATAGTACATTTTCGAACAACTTATATAATCCTGTGCTCAACCAATTAATCTTCCTTTCAACCATAGTAGCAAAATGTAACTCCTTTGCAACAAGTTGTATCCAATGTGCATACATGGCCTGAAACCATCATATCTTACCATCCTCTACATTTATCAGTTCAGTCAGTTCATTATGATTTGCAATTATACCTTGCTTCAAACCATCAATTCTGTCATTGGCCTTAGACATGTACGAACCCATGTAATCTTGTTACAAGTTAAAAACTGCTTCTTCCGCTCTCATTCTATTTGATAAGATATTGATATGTTGTCGTATTATTTTCACGTCACTGTCATGGCGGTTCCAAATAAATTATGTGAGAATTCACCAGTAAAAGGTAGTAAAGCTCCCTTAGAGCGCGTCTGAGAACCAACAATTTGACCTTGAAGAATAATATTTCTGATCAAAGTAACCCCTTCTAACATGTCTTTGAAAGTGTCGTCATGTATGCGATAAGTAAAATTCAATATAGCCCTCGTATTCTCATCACAGGACGTATGATTCGCCTGAAGACTAATATTCCCTCACATATCTCTAAGCAGAATCGGATAGTTAGAGATCTTGGGCAATTCAGTAGTGAATATATGATACCATGTCTGTTCGTACGTTAAGTCGTCCCATATATCTGAAGGTATTACCCCAGAGATAGATATCCAGAATGCATGTTGTCAATGGTACTGAGTTCCACATCATGAGTAGTGTCATCACCACCTTAAGTGTGAAGCCTAAGGGTCCTTTAGAATGCAAATTTCCAAGTAATCTCTCAGATTATAAATCTGTTCTCAGTTCCTACTCTGTTATCCCTATGAAGCCATATCTTCCCTAAGTGAAAAACAATAAACAACAATCCCAATTGATCATCACCAATGTACCATACAACATATTACTCTCTCATAAATAATGTCTAGCAACATTAAGTTAACCAAAGAACACAGCGCTTATGTTCATACAGTTCCAGTTCATGTGTCAATAATATGCTGTACTTGTGGGTCAGTTGAATATTTTTAAGTTAAACAGCCTTGTTTTTAAACAACTTCTGATTTCTCACATCTTCAATCCCAGTAATATATAACTGTATGTCCCTTTTCACTCCTATCGTTGTGTCTGTGTCAGCATCATAACTCATGAAAAAAACAAAAAAACTCTTTAATATTCCATCTGAACTCTCTTCAAACATTTCCACTCTCAACAGGAGGTATACAACAGCCTTCTGACTAGGCAAAACTCTTCTGTACAAATATGATTGGCCAATCATCTACACACCATGACCAATTTATAGGTCTTCACCCAGGCTACGAGACAAATCGACCCTCTGTCCTTCGTCCCGAGTGAATTCATCGTTAGTCTTTTGACTGTCCTCAATATACTCAGCAACTTGAGGTAGAAACATATCTACCTCACCACTAGAGACTGTCAGGCATCTCTAGACTTGATCTTTCAAGCTTTGAAACAGCATAGGCATTTCCTCATCTATGTGTTTATAATATTCAAATAACGTAGGCATGTCTCCTCTACGTCCTTGTCGACATTATTACTATGTGGGCATGTCTCCTCCATGGCTTGACAGCGTAGGCATGTGACCTCTACGACTTACCATCATTTCATATCTTCGTAGGCATGTTACCTCTACGTCCTTTTCATCATTTCATGTCTGCGTAACCATGTTACCTCTACGACTTTCGATCATCCTTGATTTCCTATCTGGGTACCCATTTGCTTTGACACATGACACTATAACTTGGGACTAAAACCAACTTGTTATTATAACCTTGGATCTACATATCCTCCATATATCATATACCATATGGTTGTCACACTTCCTTACTTGCAGTTCTATTGTTTACTCGTTTGTTGTTTTCTTTCTTCACCTCCCCTGTCATTGTTCTTCTGACATGGAAATCCTCCACAATTTCTGAATTGAGAAACTCACTTAGGACCCCTTCTCTTTTCGAGACACCTGCTAATCGGACTTGGTATCGCATTACTCTACGACTTATCAACTTCCATTTCATATTTGGATATCCTTATTCCTGTCACCTAATGATTGATTGCTGTCAATATCAACATGGTTGAATGCTTTGTCACCTGTGGTGATAGGCATGGTATGTGTGGTGTCAGTGTCTCCTAACTCTCCATACACATCGGCAATATCGACTTCTTCAATGACACCTATTGCCAACTTAATCTCTGAACTAGCAGGGTTCATCAGCCTAAACAATGGTACTTGATTGACAGATGAAGTGAGACATCTAGCACCTCACTTGTGTAACGA